TGGATTTCTTAAAAACCAGAGTGTGACACTGCTAACGTCTCTGTTTGTCTCCCCAGGTTGATTCCTCGGCACTCTGTGTTCATACCAGGTTTGCATTCTGACCTGCAAGCCAATGTAAGTCGTGTTGAGTGACTGCGTGTGAAAGAGGTATTCAAGCTCAGTTCATATTATTTTTAACCTCTCAAAGATCAACTTAGAGGAGATTTAAGGCTTTTAAGGGCTGATTTAGTCAATAATGCATTTTTGTGCTGTCTGCGACAAACACCGGTAAGTTAGCTTTTCTTTCAACAGACTTTAGTGGTTATAACAACAACGGGGGGGGGGGGGGGGGGGGGGGGGGGGTCGCAGCACAAAAATGCATTCTTGACTCAGCATGCATGGAGGATTCTGGGATAACATCTTCACTCATGAGGGCTTTTTTTCTCTGGTGTCCTCAGGTACTGGGGGTTAGCTTTAATTGTTCGGTACCGAGCTGCATGAAGGATAATCTCCAATGTTCTCATCAGTCTGGAGTTTGTTTTGATCTTTGGGCTTCTTCTTTTTGTACATTTCCTCTCTCTTTGCCTTTAGTTCTGATAATCGATGATATGCTGAGAGCTTCAATCATTCCTCGGTTAGTTGATCGACAGAGAAATAACTGGCTGATAATAGATTCATTCATTTGTTCTTAAAGCAAGGATGCAAACATTCCCGAGTTCCTGTTTGACAGTTGGAGGATTTTCTGCTTTTTCTGATAGTAAATTGAATATTTTGGGGTTTTTATATGTTAGGGGGAAAAAACAAAACATTTGAGGATCCTTTTAAATAATAGTGATGCTTTTCACTGTTTTGATAGTGAGGAAATAAATTGATTTCAGATTTATCAGCTGGTTAATTGTTTATTAAGCAATCTGGATATAATCTTGTATTTTCTGAAAGAGTCCAAAGATGATATTATATTTTAAATGTTGTGAAACAGAGAAAAGNNTGGAACCAGCAAATGTTTGACATTTACTTAAACAATTATTACAATTAGACAAATATTTTCCTGTCGAGCAACTAATTACCCTCAGCTGTAATCCTTTGATTCTAACTACCACATTGAAACAGTACTGATGGTGATGTGTGCTCTCAGGGATCATCACCATCCTCATGTCCTATGGAGGAGGCTTTTATGGACGCACTGAGCGCGTCCGCCAGGCGCCGCACTATGACCAGGTGCCACAGGGCTCTTTACCCCGAGCGGACTCCCACGACCTGCAGCCGCTGAGGGAGCAGAGATCGGCTCACCTCGCTCAGAGCGCCGACCCCCTCCCTCCTCCGCCTCTGCCGGACCAGCCTCCCGTGGGCCCCGAGTTTGATCCCAGCGGCAGCGAGGACAACGCAGACCCCGACCCGGCTGCCGACCCGGCTGCCGACCCGGCCCTCGACATTAAACCGGTCCACCGCTTCATCCCGGACTCCTGGAAGAACTTCTTCAGAGGAAGCAACCGCAGCAGTAACAAGCCCTGGTCCATGTCTGCCTCCTCCTCTAACAACAACAACAGCACCAGTGAGGGGGTGCGCTGCTCTCCTCCACAGTCCCCCTCTGTCCCGGGATCGTACCGGGATCCTTATGGCGGCTCGGGCAGCAGCTACAACTCCCGCAAGGAGCTTCTGGAACTACCGGACGGCCACGAGTCCGTGTCAGGGCGCACCTACCAAACCGGTCTGACCTACAGCGAGCGAGTGGAGGAGTACCACCTGCGCTACGGCTACATGAAGTCCTGGGCCGGACTGCTGAGGATTCTGGGCTGCGTGGAGCTCCTGCTGGGAGCTGCCGTGTTTGCCTGCGTCTGTGCGTACATCCACAAAGACAACGAGTGGTTCAACATGTTCGGATACTCGTCTCCCGGAGGAGCATACGGAGGCGGTTTATACGGCGGCACCACAGGCGGGTCCTACTACACAGGACCCAAGACCCCGTTTGTGTTGGTGGTGGCAGGGCTGGCCTGGTTGGTGACTGTGATCATGTTGGTGCTGGGGATGACCATGTACTACCGCACCATCCTGCTGGACTCCTCCTGGTGGCCTCTGACGGAGTTCACCATAAACCTGGCTCTGGCAGTGCTGTACATGGCAGCAGGTAGGTCACACAGCCGCACACCTGGACTACAAACACTGTCACTCCTGGGACTGTGAGTCCACGCAGGTTGTATTTGTTCAGGTGCTGAGATGTGTGTTTATTGTAAGGGAGCGTGTACAGTGCTGATTAGACCTGCAGGTCACAGTGAGAGCTACAAACATTAATCCATTAGTTGTCAACTACTGACTCAATCGGCAACTGTTGTGATTTGATTCATCGTTATGAATATTTTCTGGTTTCTTTAGTCTCTATGTAGGGATAGACCGATTATCTGCTTATTATCTCCTCCAGTATTCAGTATTTATCTGTTTATCTGTTTGTTTGTTTTCTATATATCTATAAATCATCTTCCACGATTATTTTTTCCTTCCTGATACAATAAGAAGTGTGTTCAAAATATATATATTATATTATTTTTTAACACACTACTAACCCTGTATGATCGCTATCATTGTTGGATGTTGTTGAGTTCATTTTGATGACTTTATACTATTATTATACATCATCCTTTATTAGTGGATTTATATTTTGTGTATGAAACTGCAAAGTAAATAAAGTTATTAAATAAATGTAGCGGAGTAAAAAGTGCGATATTTGCCTCAAAATGTAGTGGAGGTGTAAAGTAGCATAAAATTTAAATACTAAAATAAAGAAGTACCTCAATTTGTACATAAAGAAGTTGAGTGAATGTACTTAGTTTCACTCTACCACTGGTTGTTCTGAATTTTGACACTAAGTTTTAAGTTTAATTGCGTCTGTATCGACCTTAAAGAAACATTGGTCGATCCTTATCTCAATGACAGTAAACTGAATATGTTTGCCAAAAATAATTAGAGGTTTATATTTAGTTTTTTTAGGATTGATCAAGCCACAGTGTGATCCGTTTAATATCAGACAGACCAAAAATATCCGTACGAATCGATGCCAATATAGGAAAGTTTTATTAAAGCATGTGTGTATTTTGTTCACCAGGCATCGTTTATGTCCGAGACACGACCCGCGGAGGGCTCTGCTCCTACCCGGTCTTCAACAACGGCATCAATGGGGCGTTCTGCAGGACAGAGGCGGGCCAGACTGCCGCCATTATCTTTCTCTTTGTCACTTTGGTCGTATATCTGATTGGAGCCATGGTGTGTCTCAAGCTGTGGAGACATGAAGCTGCACGCAGATACCGGGAGAAGTACGGCCAGGAGGTAAGACCTCAGTGTCTTTGTGTTTGTGTTGTTTACGGGGTTGGGTCCTGAGATTCCTCAAAACCGCTCAGAGACTCTTCTTAAGCTTAAAGCATCATTCCAACACAAACCTGTTCACGCTCACTGCAATGCAGAAAGGTGCACACACAATCTGGTTTATAACTATGTGTTAGTTTCTAAGATTCACAATATATATTTATATTAATATTAATGTCGGGGCTGTCAATGATGTCAATCTTGTTTATTTTGTTGCGTCACAAATCACGAGTCCATATGAGAGGAATATGTGCTCTGGCAGGGTTGATGCTCACACAGTACTTTAATCTGCTCACCTTGCTGTTCCCCTTTTGCAAAATACGTAAGCCATTGTAGTTTTTGCCAGTTTGGGCGTGAAATAGATCTTAAATTACATTCATAATAGTCTAAAAAAGTCTTGAATTTAACCTGTTGAAGCCTTCAGAAACCCTGTATGTTCTACATGTTAACTGGATTATATTTTTGTTTACACAGATGCTTCCATCTGACATCCGAACCACACAATCTTTGGTGAGTATCCTGTGATGCTGTTCATCGTAGAAATCAATAGTACAGACTCATTCATTCAGGATATACAGTCACAGTATCCGGTGACTCAGTCTGCACAGTTATTCTGACACAGTTGTCTCTGTGTCTCTGCAGATGGTTCCAGTAGTTCCAGGTCCTGCAGCCAAAGTTCCTGAACAGGTCCAAGGCTCCTCGGTCGTTCCCATCCAGGCTGCTCTAAAAGCAGTCCCACCAAAGGTTTTACAGGGAGCTATACCATCAGGGCACATTCCAAAACCTGTTATTATGCCTGACTACATTGCGTAAGTGCTACTACATAATGCAATATACTGTAAAGAGTTGTGCATGTGAGAGGAGGTAGATATAATACAGCTAACGACTATTTTATTATCAATTAATTCACAGGTTGTCTTCTCAATTAATTATTTGGGCTTTCAAATGTCAGAAAGCTGCGAAAAATGGTTAAAAAAAAAAAAAGAAGACTTAAGGTCACTTTCACACAGTAGTTCAGTGTGTTCAGCTATGTAGTGATTTTTTTGGGTCTGAAAGGGAAAATAGACCTTTTCTTTAAGGATTGTGCACTAATATGACTGCAAAGGGACTCAGAAGGCTGCTCTCTTAAACAAATAACTGAAGTCAAATATTCTTTAACATGTTCATTTAAGATATACATTGTTATTTTTTTCTGCATTATATACCGCACATAAAAACTGTGCATATCTGATAACACACACACGATACAACGTATGTCTGCAATAGGCCAATATCGGCTGATAATACCTAGCTCGACATTACACATTGTTGCCCTTCAGTTTAATTTAGTTCTGCTCTGGTTCCTGTTCACACCAGTACACATGAAATCATACAGACAGTTGACTCTTTTATTGGACAGTTCTGGTCGTCCTGCTGCATCAGAGCACACATGGGGAAATCTGATTCTGATGACTGACAGTTTATGTCGCACTTTAATGCTTCTGATGTGTATGTTTATGTTCTCTGGTGTCACAAAGAGCTCACAAAGAAATAACTGATTATTATTCTATAAATCTATCTATAAACTTTTTAATGGACAAACTGTAGGATGAGAGAACAACACACTGCAGTCTCAGCTGCTTCTGACTGATCAGGAAAAATGTTGCTGCGCTCACATGCTGACGGGATTATGTGTTACCATGGTTACAAAAGATTTGCATAAACATTTACATCTCTTCCCATAAGATCACTTTCTGATCTGCTGATCATAAAACCCTGTGGTTGGTCTGTTAGTTTTCAGACCTCACACCGGAGTCTGAGTGGAATCAGACCCGGGTCCTCCGGTCTCGGGCGGGTTGTTCAGTCCACGCCACGGTCTGATTGACACCTTTAATGTCAGATTAAACGTGCAGAAGTTAACCGGCAAACACACCTGAGTTTGTTGTAACCGAACACAGCAGGTTGAGATGTGAAAACAGGCAAAGAGAACCAGGAAATATGTACGTGTAAGGAGCTGCAACCAGTGTATTATTTACATTTGAATTAAACTGACACACTAAATCGATTATTAAAGCTGTTATATATATTTTCTGTCAATCAATTAATTAATTGTTTCAGCTTTTTTTAAGGAAACTCAAGACTCCCTTTTTAGTCTGGCTTTTAATTGGTTTTTATTTACTTATTTATTTGTCTATTTATGTTTTTATTATTGTTATTTAATCTGTTTTATTACTTTATTTATCTATTTGTACACCTGACTCAGTTAATTTAGTGTCGTATTTTCTTAGTTTACATCCTTTTCTAATTCTGCCTGCAGTGTTTGATTGATCACAAAAGCACTTATAACTGTATGTGTGTGTGTGTGTATGTGTGTGTGTGTGGGGTGTTGCTTGTGTGAAAAGTGCTTTACAAGTAAAGTCTGATTGATTGATTGACTGATACACATTTCTAAACTTTTATACTACGTAAACGTAGCCGGCAAAGGTAGCTCCAGTCCCTCAACAGGATATATTCTGAACATATATGTCTGTTACTGCTTTGGTAATATTGAGTAACCACTGTATGTCTAACAAGTGTGTACCTGTAGAACAGTTTCACTCTTCTCGGTAAATAAAGAGTTGTTTTCTGCCTCCTCTCTGCAGGAAGTACCCAATGATCCGGACGGATGAGGAGCGGGACCAGTACCGAGCCGTGTTCAACGACCAGTACTCGGAGTACAAAGAGATCCACGCAGACGTTCAGGCGACCCTCAAGAAGTTTGACGACATGGATGTCATGATGCGCAGTCTGCCCCAGCACCCCACCAGCCAGATGGTGATTGGTTACACACTTCCTGTCTCCTGTGCTTTTCAAAATAATACTAATACGGGTTATCTTCTTAGTAGAGAAGAAGTAGAAGTCGTTTCTGCTCAGCTGGATCAGCCCATCAGTGTTTCGTTTTACGTGAAAACGCTGAGGAAGCATGTTGGACAGACTGATTGCTTGTCTGCACCCAGTGTTTTTGTTGTTAAAATGCGCCTCATTTCTCTCACTTCCTCTGTTTGTATTTCCTGTTTCCCGCTGAACTTCCCCTCCACCCTTAAATTCCTTCTCCGCTCCATCCAGAGTTTAAGCTGATTTTACAGCATCATTGCACTTTCATTTTCATATTTGTTAAAGGGTTGTACTTCATTGTTTAATGTTCAGAGTTTAATACAGTCTGTTTCTCTTTTTGCAGGAGGTCGATCGCATTAACAAAATCCTTCAGGAATACCAGAGGAAGAAAAAGGTGAGCCTATTGTGTTGTCGATGTTTTCTATACACGCTCTATAGCCGTGGGTTTGTTGGCTGCCCACTCTAGTTTATATTATAGAGGTTCTGTTTCCTTCTAGAGACTCAAAGTTCCTCAAACATTCACATGAACACATTGTCAATCAGTAAAATATCTTCCAAACAGAACATTAATAATGTAATAGAATAAAGCACATATCTGTATTTGCCATTGTGGCATGAAATAGTAGGGTAAACTCAAGTGTTACCAATGATACTGAACCTTAATCAGTATCATTGATAACACCTGTGTTTACCCTACTATTTCATGTTAATTTGGCTGCTGTGAAAAAGGTCTATGGTGATTGAGCCAATGGCCCACTGATGAAGATGAAGTGATGATTGAGCATAGGCTCAATCGGTGTTTGAGACTGCCACTCTAACAGTAGTCATACAAATAACTGCTCCTGAACAGTTGATTGATTAAATTCTCGTGTTTCTGCTTCACCACCAGGACCCTACGTTCCTGGAGAAGAAGGAGCGCTGCGAGTACCTGAAGAGCAAACTGTCGCACATCAAACAGAAGATCCAGGAATATGATAAAGTCATGGAGTGGAACGACGGATACAGCTAAACCTCTCCACCCTGGAAACACCACAAATACAGAACTATTACTGACAGCTAAGCAGGACTTGTGGTGAAAATGACATTTAAACCCAGCGAGGACCACAGGAGCATGACTGGGACTTCCAGCCTGCTGTGTCTTTTAAATCTGCGCAGCGGTTGGTGGTTAGAAATAGGTCTACGAGCAGTTTTGTATGTCTGCGTTTTTAAAGCCCACAAAGGGTAAAATGTTTTTATGCTTCAAGGAATAGTTAGGGAGAACTCTTGTTCGCTTTCTGGTGAAGAGCTGGGTGAGGAAATCAGTACCAGTCTCATCTCTGTAGGATCACTGTAAAGCTACATCCACTTAGCTCAGCACAAACACTGGAAGCAGAGGGAAACTGCTAGCCTGGCTCTGTCCAACAACAACAAAGTCAGCCCACAAGCACCTCTAAAGTTCACTAATCTACACGTTATAACTTGTCCTAGTGTAAAAATAGAAATTACACACAGCTGGTGCAACAGACATGAAAGCAGCAATGCGACAGTGTAGAAATACTCTGTTGATGGTAAAAGTCCTGCATTTAAACTTTTACTTCACGCTCCAGAGTGAAACATTGAGGAGGATCTATTGGCAGAAATGTAATATAATAATCATATGTATGTTTTCATTAGTGTATAATCACCTGAACATATAAGAATGTGGCTCTATATCGGGGCTTTTACATTTTTCACGGGTTTCGTGGCCACCGTGGTTTCTCCTACACGCTTAAAAGGGTGAGGTGAGGGTGTTGTGTCCTACTCACCGGTCCTTCAGAACACGCTCAGACAACCAAAAGTTAAAATACTCCTCATGCAGAATGGCCGATTTCAGAATAATGTATTATTTAAGGTTTTATTAAGAAATGAAGGTTTGCAGTTCATTCATGCTGCACACATCAGAAAAGATAATTGCAGGTCATCTTTTAAATGTCTCGAAGGTCTCTGAAGATTTGGGCACAACAGTCTGATTTCCTGTTGTTTGGGACATTAACCAGGAGCAGCTTTAAGTCCCAGATGAGCCACAATAATACAATATATAGCTGTTTCTTATGTGTCTTTACTGTCTCCTGGCTGTAGCTACATACCTAAAAGAATAAGAAAAACAATGTTCTGATATTACTCTTCACCAGATAGCGATTAAGTTAATTTCCCAGAATATCAAACTATTCCTTTAC